CAACATGGTCAAACACAACACACTTGTTTAAATCACGTGCGTACTAGAACAACATGCTATCGCAATCCACTCTGGCCTGCTTCCTCATCCTCCTCCTAGCCTTCACCTCATATCAAGTCGTTTCCCTCACGGCGCCGGACAGCCAGACTGCAAAGCAGTTGGAGGCGGATTTGTTCGACACAGCCGACTTGGTGGATGGGGAGAAGGCACTCGATGACATGGAGACAGAACACATAGGCCCAGTTGACGAAGCTGACACATCCGACGGTCAGTGTGAAGTTCTCGTGCGGGCCGGATGGTGTCGCTTCCGACGAATCCTAAGCCGTGCTTTGCGAAGAGTGCGTGAAAAGATTTGAAAGCTGTCTAAAGAGCCATGGAGCTCTAATGGTGTACACGGTCGTAAACCACCTGTTCCACTCACTCTCTAATGCGTCACTCCCAGGCAATATACGCATGTGCAAACACCTTGGCTTGTCTCTACCTATCGGTGTTTGTCAGTGAAAAATGCGTTTAGGCTTTTAAAATTGCATGTTCGTGTGCATCGTTAGGGCTACTGCTGACTTGTTAGCACGGAGTGGAGGAGCGGCAGGCCTCTCCACCCATGCATGCCGCATCGTTCTATCAAATTTCACAATTCCGCAGAAGGCTCTCACGTAAATTGCAGACCACTCCTGTTTTCCTAGCCTTCTAACCACCTTGCATAGAATCGTTTAGTGTGTGACAACGTCACAATAACTACTGCGACGTAAACAGTTACGACGGTGCCGATTTGTTATGCTCATTGTGTGTACACGTGCTGCTGGTCAACTGTGCACACTGCGAATCCACACTCTCCTCGCCTGTGATTTGTGAACAGTGGGAGAGAGTGTCGTGTGCACTCTTGTGGTATCCCTTAAACTCACTCACGTGCACAGCGTGTCATGAGGCACCCTTACTGGCGCCAAGGAATGCGGGTGAGGAGACGTTGAACTCCAGACTTGCGCCACAATGGCACAGTGTGGCAAGCATCTTGCCTCCACTCTCCTCCCCCAACAGAGCATCACACGTAAAAACACATCGCTGCTGCAAATCTTTAACTGCGCACTGTTCCCTCTTGTTCGATACCTGTAACAAGGTCTTAACTGGATCTGTTTTACTTCCATCCTCGGATAAGCAAATCAGATCGATGTTCGTTTTATGAGCAAAACTTTTTCTCCCTTCCCCACTGCAAACCGTTCACTCTACCTCAACCATTGACACTG